CGCTACAACCTCTTTGCTTGGTTAAAATAAGCCTTTCACCTGCATCTCTGCATTCAAACTAACCAAGTTGATTTGGCCAGAATATAGATGGTCCTCTTTTCCCTCCCGCTCTACAGCTGCTGGCTTTAAATTATACTACTTCAAGGAAAATGATTAAAAGCTCATTCCAAGGTTAAAAATTACAATGAACCTTACTAGTCAATAGGAGCCTTCACAGAAAGAGAAAATGCCCCTCTGCCCCCCATTTTCAAACACTTCACAAATCTCTTAACTATATTTCACACCTTGCTTGCTCTGTAAGCTCCTGCACTCAAGGACCCCTCTCAGGACACCGATTTCCAGTAAAGAGGGGCTTCCTGGAGAAATTCACTCCTATTTGTAACTTCACTATTTTAGTTTACTTTGTCATTGTCCTTTTCACCCTTGCATAGCTTTACTCACTTGAAAGTGCTCTGGAAACTAAAACAATCAGTAACCACCACCTTCAGCTGCCAGCCCAGCAAGTGGAGGTCAGAGGGTCCCCACATGCTGCGCTAGGCAGGGGGGCACCAACCTTGTCCCCAGCCCCAGAGGTCCTGGAGGGGCAGGAGCAGAGCCTTCAGGTGTGTGGCAGCACCATATCTCCAGCTGCTGGGCTCTGCTGCACCATTCACCAGCCTGGAAGACCAACAGCTGAAGGATAACCTTCATATTTTCCCTTTTTCTACTACCTGTGGCTAATATCGCAGACATTTCTGTAAACAAAAATCCTTACCTTTTGACCTTTCTCTGCACTTTTGGCTTAGAACAGAGTTCCCCATAGACAGCCGGCAGCGCTGCCCAGGTTCACAGTGCAGAACCACGCACGTTAGATTTGTCCCACTACTGAAAACGACACATACAAATCGAATTGGTAGGGAAATAGAACTTTATTCTAAGACATGAGCTGAAGCAATGAGCATATGAAGCAACGACCACTAGAAAAAAAGTGAAAAACACATCAAATATTTGTATTGTACCAGTTAAGTTTGAACACAAATGTTCCTTTCAGTAAAATGTATGCACAGGACAAAAGCATATGCGAAGCTCTGAAGGTCACCTAGAGCAGCGCGTTTAATGTCTAAGAAAGAGGTTACCCTTATGAAAATCTTTAAGTCAGGAAAAAATCCTTCAAGTAACAAAGTAGAAACGATCTGTTAATTCTACTCGGCACTGTGGAAAAGGAGAGGGATAATATATCCCAAGAGTATGCATCTTTAAGATGTATAAATTCAAAGTCCCTAGAACACAAGTCTGCTGCCAGACCAAGTACCATTTTTTTCTTCCTCATTTAGGAAGTTGAGTGATTTATGTCTGTCAAGCGTAAGGGGATCGTGTTCTGGAGTTAAAGCTGCTAAGATTACCCGGTCTGCTCACCAGTGAGGAAATCTCACTGACATGCATACCCAACAGACCTCTTCTCTTTGTCTTTATAATGGTACCCTATCATTAAAAGCTGCAAATTGCATCAAATTCTACTTCCATAAACATTCAAACAAGTATTTTCTTGACTGTCTTAATACAGGAGGCCAAATGTTGCTCTCCTTGAGCTCTCCCTTCACGTTCATTTCAATACCACAGGAAGAAAGCTGCAAGTGCACACAAACAGCAGAGTTGGCTTTGTGTAAGTCAGACGTGGTGGTTAATTTAACCTGGCTCATGCACGCGACATCAAAAAAGGGGTAGCTGGACCATTTCTGTGCTATTTGCAAGGTCTGCCAATTTCATTCTGATGCATAATGCATGCATAGTAGCTTTCAATTATAAGTAAAATGTAATTTATTTTTAAACCTGCTCTTTGGGACTCTAGAATTTTAGTGGTTAATCCACTAAATTTACAGGTAATATGAATTGAACAGTCACTTTTCTTGACACAGTACCATAAATGCATCACCTTAGAAACTGCTATCCAACAACAACAATGGCAGCAACAAAATTCATTAACAGGACAAATGTCAGTCAGGCATTAAAAAAATAAGTCTCTGAAGAATTGCATTGTTTTCAAAAATACACTGAAATATTCTATACAAGAATATAGGCATCACACTTATGAATCTAAAATTGTAACCACTTACATGTATTAGCTATTCTCAATAAACCATCTATGTTTGCTACCCACCTACAGTAGCTACAGTTTCAAATTGGGAACACTGCAAATTAATGTACTTTCCCTGAGATCAGTAATCCAAAATAAATAGCCCTGCAATTGTAACAGTGTAAACTCTGGATTTAAGTCTTCAGTAAAATTCAGTCCTCAAAACCCAAGGAGAACATTAAGCAAACGTAAACATAGCAATCATTTCGTCAGTTTTGAGTTATTCTCAGTGACAGTGGAACCCTATGTGAGCTGTAGCATCCAAATGTTGAAGACTCGTCATTTGTATTGTACAGTATGGTTGTCCTAGTTCACTTTCCTATCATTGAACCCCTGAACACATCCAGCTGTGATGTGGATCTCAAAATCATGACCCAGATCTGCTCCTCCACTCTGCACAAACTTTGCAGTGCCTTTAAAAACACTCAAAATAGAGGAATGGCGAATAGATCTGTGATAATCCTCTGGACTAGTCACAAGTTCAGGTAAATCATAGCCTCTCAGCAGGTGTCCACTGTTTTGTTGAGCAAAGTAATACAGCTGCCTGGCAAACATTGGTTCAACCTTTAGAACAGACAAAATATTAATCAGACACGTGACAAAATTTCATGCTCCTCAGCTTAGTTATTTACAATGGTTTTAAGGTAAAAAGAAGGCAGGACAAAACAGTTCTGTTTACCAGAATGGGAAAACAATTTCAGTGGTCTCACTGATCTCTGCTTTAAGCTAGTTATTGCCTAGCCTAGACTAGCTCTGCTGCTAAGTGCCTTGCTACCTGCACACACTCCTTACCTCCATGGCCTTCATTTGAAAGGGCAAGTACCACTGACACAAATGATGTATCCAAAATTGCTGCCCCTTAGCCAACCCCAGGATGTGAGCAATGCCCACAGGTCACACATCTGTGGCCACTCAAGGTGTTTAAATACATATGCAATGCACCAAAAGTCTTGTTTGCACTGCAAAGTACTTTGAGGACTTAACTGGAGATTTTGCAACCCTCAGGTTGACTGAGATATGTCACCATATGACTGTGTTTGAAATTTGACTTCAACCTAGCACTAAGGTTACTCTTATTTCTGTTCATTCAAGCTCTGATGAGGAATCTGTTCAACCACCATGTGGGATTTGTATGATTTAACACTGTCTTCACTTCTGTCTCTTCAGAAACCACCATTCCCCCTCAGGGCTTTGGGCTCTGACTACAAATATTTAAGCTGCACACTAAGAACAAACACCTGAAACTCTCCTTACTTAAGGGAGATGGACAGACTGGATAACACTTCTCCATAACCTTCTCTTGCTGATCAGCCAGTCTTCCCACAGTAAGACATGGGCACCATTTTGGAGGAAAAATATGCCATGGGGGAGATGGGAAAGCAGCCGGGCAGGTGAGCCAGACAGCTCTCAGGGCATAGCCATTTGATGGGATGGTGGAGTCCCACCAGCCCATCAACTGGGACAGAGCAAGAGGCTGAGCAATTGGTAAGAGGGAAGCAACGCTCTGGAAAGAGCAGGAGGCACAGGCTCACAGAGAAGATGTCCAGACAGGAGATGGATAAGGGGGATGGAGAGGGGGTGCTAGGTAAGGAGGGATGGAAAGCTGAAAAACCAAAATAGGGATGGAAAAGAGCCTAAGTAGAGTCAGGGATGGATCTCTAACTAGCCATTGCACAGCTCAGGATGGATTTGTGAGCTGCCCAACTTTCACCCTTGAGACTTACTAGGCAGCAGTATGAAAGCTATGCAGCTAAGGGGAGGCCACACCATGTCAAAAGTCTGACTTGGGACCCATGCTGCTACCAAAGGGGCTTTCACAAAACTAAGACACACTAGTTTTCTTCCCAAGGATGCAATCAGCTAAGCCCTGTCACGAACGTGTGCATTATCACCTCTCTTGTGGTTTTATGGGCCAATACAGCCAATTTAGAAAGTACCTGGTCTCAGTCTCTGTCATCAGCCTCTCTCAGTGAGCATCCCGAAACACTAGCTCTGAGTGTGTGCAAACTGTGGTCAGTCAGACTACAAACTTGCCAGTTACCTGAACCCTGAAGCTGCACAGGCAGCTCCTGCATCCTGTTAAGGGCTGAGCTCCCTGAGTTGCAGGCTGGGATTTTAGACAACCTTCAGGTGCAGTACGTGCAAAAGCATCATATCCTGAACTGGCTGCACAGTCCAAGGAGTTGCACTACTAGACCAGTAATAATACACAGCCCAGCACTTCCAGAGTACGTTTCAGCTTTAGGTTTTGATGGGATTTGCAACAGATTACGAATGACACTTATGCTCTACAGAGAGTTAAAAAAAACAGGTATTTTGCCCTACAGAGGGCTACCAATCAGTCCTTGGCAGAACTGGGGATTAAACCCTGCTCCGGATGGTGCTGCATTTTCAAGAATTTATTACCTCTCTCACAATCTACATGAGGTACAAAAGCCTGACTGCCAGATTCATATCCTCCAAGGAATATGCTTCTTTTAGGTAAGGCAGAAGTCCTACTTACATGGGCTGTAATTAGTTTCCTCTGCCTCTGTGGATCTGGAAATTCCTCCCCAAAGCACAGAGCAACCTGGTATCTCGGCAGCGGACGTCCATGGTGAGCAAAGGCTTGCAGCTCTGGGAAGAGAGAAAATACTGTGTTGTGGAACAACCCTGGCAGGCAGACAAGCACCACACAGCTCCTTGTTCATCCCTCCACTGGCATAGGGGATAAAAACAGAAGGGCAAAAGTGAGAAAATCTGTGTGTTGAGATAAAGACAGTTTAATGGGTTAAAAAGAAAAAGACAAAACAAAACAAAACAGTGTAAAAAGCAGTCGCTCATGACCAGCTGACCAATGCACAGCCAGACCCCAAGCAACAGTAACCCCTGGCAAATTCCCCCATGCTGTGAAGCACTAGGTCATATGGTATGGAATATCCCTCAGCTTGGGTCAGCTGTCCTGGCTGTGTCCCTTCCCAACCTCTTGTCCACCCCAGACTGCTTGTTGTGAGGGCGGAGTGAGAAACAGGGGAAGCCTTGATGTTGCACATCACCTAAAACATCCCTGTGTTATCAGCACTGTTGTGGTCACAAATCCAAACCATAGCACCGCATGGGCTACTATCAAGAAAATTATTCCAGCCACGACCAGTACAGGCCAGCAACACAGACTTTGTGGATGGCTGAGCTCCAAATGGATGGTCCCTGACCACAGTGGGAGAAGATAAAGTAACTCCAGGGGAGGATGAGAAACATCAGGGAAAAGTTAAGAGGTAAGAAGACACTGAGTTTGGAGACTTTCCCACAGATTAGGAGGAGCTAGTTACAACACTGCAATTTTTTTATTTGGCTTGTCTCACTATTTATTTCATATGCACAATCCAGGACATCTTCCAATTAGTCCTTCCACTGGACCTCGACACCAGAACCCCTAGAGCAGACACTGACAGCAGTGGGAACTATACAAGCAGACACCCAACAGCAGCACTGAAACCTATGACTTAGTAGAGCCAGAGACTCAAAGTACTGCCAGGCATGAAATTCAGCCACAGCTAGACAGTTATGGAGCCACTGTCATCACTGTGCCTAGTGGAAGACATGAAGGTAAGGAAAAGAGAAAGGACTGTATTTAAGCCATGTACTGAGCCAGCAGAAGAGCCTTTACATGATCCTTCAATTTGGACCAAAATGACCAACGTTGTGGAGTAAATGGGTTTTAGACACTGTATTTCCTTCCAGAAAAGAGAAAATTCTATCCAACAAAATATCCTTGTGGAAGTCTATGTTAAGTGCTGTATTTCTACATAGCTGATTGGTAAAGATTTCATTTTAATTTATAACCCTGTTCATGCTTTCTGGAAAAAGTTGAAATTAATATTAAACCCGGTGTATTATAATGAAGTACCCTCCTTGCTAGAAAGGGAAAGGAGTCTTTGAATTTGGCATGACGAATGCCTTTCTTCCCAAACTACACTTCTGCCATTTCTACTCTAACTGCAAGTTTTCAGACAAAGGTGTGAATTTGTGGCTGCAACAACAGCATCCCAACCCTGGCTTGGGACTTCTGGTCTTACTGGGAGGGTCAGTTAAAAGAGTAAAACAGTGGGCAGGTCCCTGAAAAGTGCTCTGAACTTTCTGGATGTACACCAAGACGGAGATATTTTCTATGGGACCCTGCTTCCCTTTGTGCTGCCACAGGACAAGGAAAGATGATCCACTCAAAGCCAGTCAGACCACACTGCTAATGGGAAACTTCTTTCACCTTCCTCT